AGGCCCGGGCCTACAGTGCTACATACTGGCTACGCCCCTGGTGCCCCACTAGAAAGTCTATCTTACATAACATGCAATAGCCATGATTAACACTGAGTTTCGACTTCACAAGTACAGGCCACATCTGTGTATATTCGTTCCTGAATTTCTGTGAAAGTCGGGGTTTTTTGGATGGCAATGTGGACGCCATTCTCCCCACGTGTTAATCTGATTAGCAGACAAACTACGCGACACCTTGTAGACAGCGCCTGTCTGACTAGGCTGTTCCATTTACCGTAGACATGCCAGATACAAACGGCATATAGAAACACATTATAACACTGAGCGATGGTAGGGGGGGGGGGGAAACCAAGGTAATGGCAGAGTGTTCATGTCCAAGAAACGACTCGCGCGGTGACAGCTATTAATAACTTGCTGCATCTCTGAGTACTGCACCAGCGCGTGGCCAGTGCCAGGCACCGGCTGGAAAAAATACAATGTGTCCAAGCGAACAATGCGAACAATCAGTGCAAATTTTATACAGTGCAACTGAAATGCGGAATATAACCTTGCCGCTGCGGAATGCGGAGTTTAAGCCTAGAAATCGTAATGATTCCGCAGAATGCGGAATGGTTGGAGACCCTGCAAACACATCGATGTTTAGTATTCTCTCATATTTCGCCGGTCGCCCAAATATTTTTCTTTGGGCCAGTGACTGCCTGGTTCTGTGCCAATTTCGGTCGCCCAAGCAAGACATTGGTCGCCATTGGCGACCTGGCGACCGTCTATTTCAGGCACTGAGGTAATAATGACAAATATTCTCAATAGGTCAATAGCTCCTGATATTATCTGTGAATTGTGCGTGTTACATGACATACTTATGTTACGCCATGACTTGTGGCCAGGCTAAAAAATAATTTTGTTGAGCAAACGGATTTTTGTGACTTCTGAAAAATTGTTCGTAATTAACATTTTAAAGACACTGACGCACACGCACTGAGCAACGCACACACACATACAAACACATACATGCACCCATACAAATGTCTGTGCCGGCCTGCGTGCATACGTACGTGCGTCGATGTGTGACTGTGTGCGTTCATACATGTATATTTCTGTGCTTCGTAGTACTGCAGCTAGCTATGTGCTTATTATTATGTATGTATCATTTGGAATAGTGATAGGAAATAGTACGCGCATTGTGCGCCCAGTTACCTCTTTCAAATCATACGCTGTTTACGAATCGCTATTCGCTGCATTTCCCCGGGGCTCCGCCCAATTTAAAAATACTGTTAGCATTGTGGCAGTGGTATCCTGAGTGTACGATGAGTTAGTATTTTGATTTTCGATTTTCGATGACAGCAGTAAGGCGAAAGTTCAGCATTTAAATACAGCTTACTTCATTAGCATTATATATAGTATGTAATCATTTCCTCAGAGCTTCTTTTTCTATATATAAACAATTAACACATTATCTGCCATCTCTATCAACTATGTGACCTTGCCTTATATCATATGCACCCCTAGTCCGCAAATGCAGACGTTATAACTCCGCTTTGCTAATGTGAGGGTGCGGGTTTATCATGACCCCCATTACTGGGGTCTGCGTCGGCTCCGACTAATGCACCCCTACCACTATAATCTCCCACTGCCATTGTCATTGTCAGTATCAGGAACTAGGTAGAGTAAATTGCTTGCTATATAAGCAGGGGTTGTCTAGTATAGGGGTATTACAAGTAACCCTAGAAATACCGTTTCTTGGAACATGCAACATGCAACATTTATATAAATCGAATAGGTATAATAACTATAAGGATCGAGGGACAGCGAATAGAAAACTCGACAGGAGACAACCACAGGTTACTGAAACCACATATAGTGTTACGTCCAGTCTGGCCGTTTAGACACTGAACTAGGCAGAACAAATCTCCGCTGGCTCAAAAGTCAACCAGTAAGAACGGCTGCCATTCAAAGAAGAACTACTTTATTATATCGAAGTCACACGCACCACACATACTGGATACCACTGCGCGCGGTAACCCTGCGCGTCCTAAAGTAGGCCTTTGCGCACTGGCGTAGCTAGGGGTGGGGGGGCACAAGGGGGCCATGGCCCCCCCCTGTTGATCGGCGAGCAAAAAAAAAAATCTTGAGTACACTTTACATACTGCAGAGACATTGCTCCAAACGCTTCTTGAATCATTGCAGAATCTGGTAATTGAAACTAACAAAGTCATATCTCAATGCTATGACGGAGCAGCTGCAATGAGTGGACAATTCACACCGTTCAATCCCGATTCAAGGAGATAGAGCCGAGAGCTCTGTA